TTAAAGGCGCAACATCGGCGACGTGGGCCACTGTTGTCTGGCGTTGGTGTAGACCTGAGTACTCAGGGCGAGTATACCAGTAGCTCACCTTTTTCACTGTCTGTAAGTAACATGAATTGGGGAAATCACAGAAGAAACTATACGATCCTAACTAGAAGCTAATGTACAAGTACGTAAAAAGCTAATTATGTAGAACAGTTGAGCGGTTAGACAATCAGGGTGATGAATGGATAACAAATCTGCGCAGAAATTTAATTAAAAAAAAGTCTACAGGTGAATTATCACGTTTTACAGCAATATCATACTGAAAAAAAAATTGCTCCAAATTGAAGTAAAAACAAATAATTCAGTTTCTCTACCATCTGTTCTCCCAGAATATGTAATGGTCAGCCTGTGAGCATGTGTTTTTCATAGGTTTTCAAGACATTTTATCGTTGTAACTTAATTTGAATCATGAAAATTAAATTTAGACTGAATCAATACGTTGATATAGTCGCATATTTTGTAGGTGAGTATGGCGGATTCTAGTGATGATGTGAACAGAAGTGCTGCATGGCCAGTTATTTTAAATTGCTCATTCAGGAGGGTGAAATTGCAAGACTGCTACAGAATCACAAAGTTAGAGGTAAATGCATGCATTTCAGAAAAGAGTTTTTCAAAAATATCTAAAATATGTGTTTATACATGTGATATTCCATACTCATTGTGTACCTTCTTATCCTGTCACCGAGTGTATTCCCTTTTACATAGCTTGGTGGTCAATTTCATTTCAGATTCCATGATTGGTCAACTCAAAATTAGTTTTATGATTCATTGAAGCCATGTGAATTAATATGTGTAATATGTGCACCAAATTTTCTTTTCCAATAGTCGAACATCTCTGAGCAGTTCTGTAGATTCCGTAGTGATTGCGTTTCACAAATTTCACACTTTGTGACTGTTTAAAAACTTTAGCCCATTCTGTGCATGTCAATGAATGCAGTAGAAGGTTCAATATACTTTATTTTTGCTTGTAATTAATTTTTGCTGAAGGAATGATTCAGTGAAAATAAAATCCAGTGAATGTACTGTTTTCCCTATGTTTTACATTCAACTCGTCAAAAATCAGTGAAAATAAATTCCATACAAAAGACTCGAAAAGTCTCTTCAGCGAAAATGAATTCCAGCTAAAATAAAGTATCAGACTCGTGATCGGCAGACCCAAGTTCAAATCCTACCATAGGCTGAACATCAAAAGGGTAGACCCCCAACCCTGGGTGAGTGTGCCACAGACTCAATGGGAAGGCCAATTCCACTGGCCGAGATTCATTCACTAACGAATGTGACTTTGGGGGAACCTTGGTTAATGTCCGCAGGTGGTTGTGTTCGACCGGGTCTGGTTGACGCCTGAATAGTGCATTAAAATTGCTAATTGATAGGCAGCTCTGTCATGTAGTCCCAAACAGGAAATGACTTCTGTGAAGTACCGGTACCGTATTTTACAGTACATAAACAGCAATGAGTAAGCTATACGAATAAGCAAGATGCTATTAAAACAATTTGACATGAACTCTGACCATTTCTTTCAATTTGAAATCCATCTTCACATCATTTGTATATACCCTTATTTTTTATAAATCATTGTTGTCACTGAACACAATTTAACAAAATAGCAACTTCAATGCATCACGGCATATATTTTGTATCTCTTTAAAGTGCCTGTGAAATGGCTGCTATTTTCACACCTAAAATTATCCATTGATACATAAATATTATTAATTTTTATGTTTCTAAGCATAAATTATTTTTTTTAAGTGAAAAAATGCGTTTCTACGGCAACTTTATTTTTGTGTATTTTAAAACGAGGCTCCTCATTAGCTTCTCATTTGCATACAGAAATTCCCCCTGTGACGTCAGAAGGAAAGTTGCTGGGTAGCTTGCATTGCCGATACGTGTAAATAAGGCAAATTTCTTGTGCTGTTTTCTCGTCTTTGACTAAATTGTCACTTATGTACTTGTTCGTCGAGGAAGAATAGACCATAATGAACACATAGTATCAAGTTTGTTGCATGGGATTGAATCAGATGCGAAATATGTACGGTCTGGTGTAGCTAGTCACCGTGGTCGTCACCGTCACCGGCGCACGTTTGTACACTGTCACTGGACATTGGACAAAATCAAATTTGACGCCTGAATCGTCTTGTTATTTAGCAGGTTACTAGGCACGTCACTACACTGTTTTATTTCATCGATCGTCTGGGTAAAAAAACACTTTTAGCCTGCGAAAATAAAAACAGCCTGAGGGCTGCGTAATTTCCTGTTATGTCCGACGCTTCGTTTTCGTGTCATTATCAAAATTACTGCTACCTTTTACATAACATGGGTGGTCTCTATAAAGCGATAATCAGGGTCGCAAAAAAGTCAAATCATTTGAAACACTTACTCGACGTCTCTCTCCCTTCTGAAAATCCGCCTCAGTGATCATGAGCTGGTCCGGAATCTATTTTTTTCGAAAACGGTTTGTATTGCGCCAGGTTTAAGTTGTCGGCGTTTCTCGTTAAAACCTAGTTTTGTCATGGACAAGGACAGTTTTTTGAAAAAAAGAATCCGAGGTGAAGTGGACACTACATATGGGGCTGTAAGGAGGAAGTCCTCCCCAACCTTTTCTCGTTATTTTCACGGCTTTCGTCCACTGATTTCGCACTTTTGAATCGATTGGAAACGTGTAAATACTTACACTATGACTATACGCATTACTGCAACAGCCCACAACACAACGTTTAACCATCATAAATGTTTGTTGTGAAAACAACTTCTAAAAATTCGGTCTCTCAAAAATAAAATAAAATAGACAAAAAAAAAACGCCGATTAAAAAATGTATATCGTTTTAAAGTATGTTGAATGACACAGTGATATAAAAGTACGGGCCAGGGGTATGGCTTCCTCTCATATTTTAGCATTTGGTGGCGCACTTTCGGTGAGAGTCGGAAATCCGGAAACAGTCGACCATTTCAGGATAGGTGGGCATGGCTACAGCACGGGAAATATCTCAAATTTACTTGGATACGTGTAATCATTTTCAGCAAAAAAATCAATAATTGCCCATTTCAGTGGGGCACAGATCTAAAATGGGAAGCGTGTGGGTGGGCATTGCACAGGCACTTTAATGTGTACTTGTATTAAAACTAATTCCAATTCAGTTAAAGTTAAATATTTAATTATCTCTGCAGTTTCTGAGAACACTATACAAGATACTTGCATCTTTCCACTGTCATCAGTAGCGTTTATGATCGTAAAATTGAATGAAGCAACAACTATCTGGCCACCAAACACCCCGTGGAAACTACAGCCAGATTTAGTAGAAAGGTAATTACCGGTACAGCCATTCTGAGAGTTGTCCAGACAATCAGTTAGCAATATGACTTGTAACTTTGCAAAACACTTTGCTTTGGTCCATTCTAGACTTGATAGTGTCGTCTCATTGATACACACACAGTTATATGGACTTACCAGCCATTCACTGCATCAGGAATCCACTGAAATGGTTTGAAAGCTAGTGCAAACCAAATTGGAACATTGTAATCAAATACTGTGGGTTTAGGTTTGGTTTGAAACAAGGTTAAAACATTTGTGAGTGATGGGTTATACAAATTAAAGAATGACTATTGTTTTGATCTCTTCTGTCAGCTGTGCTTACTCAGCAATACCAAGTACATGTACAATCATAGTCCACCAAACATGTACTTTTAGGTATGAAAGAACAGTGTTCTATCAGACCGAGACTATAACTTCAGTCTTGTGGGATGTGATGTGATGAGTTGAGGCACAGTCTGTGGTGGATTTCCAAAAATGAAATTCTGATGACAATTGATTTTACCCATTTATACTGTGTATTTCATGATTTTCATTTATTAAAATATGAATTCCTGACTAAAATATGATTTATTGTTATTTACTTATTCTGGTTGCATCACAGACAGCTGTATGCATCAATTCCCGTATGATTTTAAACTTTTCACCACCAGACTTTCTCACCCACATTTGTTTGCACTTTGCTTTAAATTCTTCAATGTTTCTGAAAATGAGCCCTAATTTTGGAACCAACAGAGGAAATTTGAGTCAATTTTCAATTTTTATTAAAAAAAAATTGGACATTTTGGTCCCAATTTTTGTCTTCTGAAAGAAAGTGCAGATTATAAATGAGACTATTTTGTGAATTTGTGAAAAAAAAAGAAGAGGGAACAGGTGGTGAAAAGTATAAAGAGACCCACTGAATAATTGCAGAACATACTCTCATATAGTAATTCAGTGATATATGATCCCACTTTTACAGAATTGAAAGATTTAATACAGTTCATCGCCATGGTCACTTAGTATTAATGGCTACCTTGTTTGGGCCTCATGAATTGTCAGTTTTCACAGCAGTCCAAGAAAGGTAGGAGCTCATTTTAATACATATGATTTCATTTATGGATGTTCAACACTCCTACAAATATACGTTTTATAGTCTCCGTTCGGACGAAGTCCAAAAACGGGGACTATTAATTTTGGTTTGTTCCGTACGTCCGGAGCTATAACACGAACACCCATTGACAAATTTCATTCAAACTTTACATGAAGACAATACATAATGTCTTACATATGTGCGTCAAGTTACTTTATGATCGGAGCAAAAATAGCCAACTGGTGGCCATTTTAGATGTAAAATTTGCTATTTCTGATACCTAAACATGTCCGCAGCAGTTTCTCGGAAATAACTGGGCCGATTTGAAACAAAGTTGGTATGATGATCATACATATATGGTTATAGGTGCATGTCATACTTTTTCACTGATTCAAACAAATATGGCCGACTGGTGGCCATTTTGTTTTTCATGGTACCCATGCTACTTGCAGTTGCTCTATTACATCCTTAAAGAAAATTGACATTTCTTCTTTGGTTTTTAGCATAGTAAAGCTTATTTATAATAAGTATAATTAGTGATGAAAGGGGACGGAACGGAACACAGGGGACGGGGGGCGGCAACGAACGCAGTTGCTCTATTACATCGTTAAAGAAAATTGACATTTCTTCTTTGTTTTTTAGCATAGTAAAGCTTATTTATAATAAGTATAATTAGTGATAAAAGAGTCACGACTAGATTTTTCATTAGATTGCAAATAATTTTACGTGATTGATAAACAAAATTCTAGCAACATAATTAGACTATAGTGTGACATGGGAAAGCAGCGGAATATGTTAGTCTGTACACAGGCTATGAAGAAAGGTAATATGTCTAATACTGAATTTATATGTGACATGTTTCACGCAGGAACTTGTGGTGGCTTGATGTAGACTTGGCTTTTTGTTGTCACCCGC